CAAAAGTCATTCGGAGATATGTGAACTCATTGGTTTTTTCTAGNTTTAGTAATGCTCGTGTTAGACATTATGTCATAGATTTACCATACCAGTGATCACTCTTCTCCTTCTTCCAATAAATTTAACGGCATAAACTCTCTAATGGACTTCTGAAACACATTGATCCGAATTCTGGACTGTGTTGTAAATTGCTACAGTAATAAGCCTTGTCTATACTCTGTGGCAGATCCTCTCAGTTGGAAAGGCTCCCGGACTTGAATTATAGCAATGACATTGAGGAGGAAGAAGTGTTGCAAGTGAAACATTTATTGAACTTATGATATCGGTGTTAACTGCTGTCTATGTTGCTTATCGAGGGGTGTGCGATAGACTTACCTCCACGTGGTGCACCCTGTGCAACGTATACTCATACGGCAAAAAAGTCTATCAACCGGCAGTTGACTTCTCACTTCAAAATACCATCACCTCACTATATGTCATATTCGACCCCTACCACAGTACTCATCTTACCTTTTCTCTGCTCTTTTGTCTGTCTCTGTCACATCTGTGAATCATTATTCTATCCCCCCTCTCTACTTTTTGTCACTTTGCTATTCCTCCTCTCTGTGAGGCCCGAAGTCAGCTAAATGGCTAATGATAACTATCAAAACGCCTGCCATTTGAAATAAATGAATAAATAAATACTTTCTATTAAATGGCAACTATGAAATAAACGTGTCGATTTGTGCATAGAAAGTTAATGTCCTCTCACGCCGCATTTGCTGCCGTTTTTATGAAAATGGGTAGATATAAGAATGGAAACCGTAAAAATTATACGGAAGTCGTATAACAAAAGAAATTAGTAAATGGACAAATTTTCTTACCCTTCCAAATCCGCGAGCAAGTAACGAGACCAATGGAATTGGATGATGATGATGATGATGATGATGATGATATGAGAAATAGAGGAAGCAGAGAAGTGTGAAAATAATTCATGCCTATGCATAAGCAGTTGCATTTTGCAACCACCACATCTTTACGACCACGTATTGTGAACAACGCTTCACAGATAAAGTTAGAGCTGAAAAAAATTGAAGGTGGTAAACTGTTTAATGGAAAACTAACTTAGTGGGACAAATTTACCACGTAACCTCCGTTTACCTTCTACTCCGCTGTAAGTTTAATTCATTTCTGGATAACCATCTTGTAACTGGTCAATTAGTTTACCAACCTTTTGGCCATTTTATGCAAAAAATAAGTTACTACATGTCCGTTCCTCCCACTGAGAAATCTGAATCCCCCAGCCCCTCAACAACCAATAACTGAACTGGCAAAGCAAGCGAAAGAGAAAGGACCTCGAGAAGTTTTTGAAAAACTTCGATTCAAGAAGAGAGTTGCAAAGAAAGGGAATGGGAGTACACTTAGAGGGAGAGGAGACACGGAATAGTTAGTATCCTTAGTTACTCCATGTACGTTTCTTCACTGAAATATCTAAAACGCCTATTGGAACGAAATCTGTTCAATAATGAAGCGCAAAGAAACAACGTTTCGTTAACGCATCTCCAAAATGTATTGGTTTTTTACGCAACTTCCTTATGGACTATGTATAAGCATAATCAAAGTGTGTTTCATTTCCTGTAAACCTTCATGTAACTCATCAACTAGTTTACTGCACCTTTTAAAATTTTGTAAAATAAAATAAGTTACTCTGTGTCCACTTCTTCCACTGAGAAATCGCAATTCCCCGCGCAGCACCTAGGCGAACCCCATAGAAGGCATTAAGAAAAGCATTGGGTGAAGGGCAACGCTCTTTAGTCGAAGAACGCTACAGGGAGAAGAGGTATATAAAGGCTGAGCAGAGGTGAGAACTCGCGCCAATGCTCGGCTTAACGGATGAGCAGGTGCGCTTTCTTTCCCCTTTCTTACTTACTATCGATAATTCAATGTTACAAATTGAGTCTTTAATTTTCAACATGTAGGTGAAACGTTGGTTTCAAAACCGTGGAGTGTCTAGGCGAGCCCAACACAGATGACCTCGAAGAGTTCCAGATGAAGGACAACGTTCCTTTCTTGAAGAGCGTCTCAAGGAAAGAAAATACAGTCGGATTGAGTGAAGATAATGAAAGAATTCCTAACTCGAAATGCAGTAATTAGACAGTACAGAAGACTTGGAGGAGTTTTAGACAAAGGACAAACTTCAATTCTAGAGGAAATTCGCAATGAAAGGGAAGTGGAGTGCATTTCGAGGGAGAGGAGGCGCAAAATCGCAAGTATCCTTGGTTTAACTGATGAGACAGTACCTTTCCCTTCCCCATTCTTACTTCTTATGGCGAATTCAATCGAGGAAGTAAAAGCTTTGAGTGGAACATGTGGGGGGGAAACGTTGATATCAAGAGCGTGGAGTGGTATCGAGAAGAGAATCGAAGAGAGTTGTGAACCTTGGGATGAGCCTTTGCCTCTGAATACACGGCAAGGCTTCTTTAATAAAAAAGATCTTTCACCATGGTTCTGATATTGATTTACTTGAAAGGGACTAAGATTATGGCTTTCTCGAGTTTTTGAGTCAATATATTAGGGAGAGGGAAGCGCGATAGACTCACCTCCACGTGGTGCATCCTGAGCAACATATACTCAAACGGCGAAATGGTCTATAAACCGGCAATTGACTTCAGGCTACCACATCCCCACTGTATGTCATATTCGACCGCTTCCCCAGTACTCACTTTATCTTTTCTCTGCCTTTGTCTGTCTACCTGTCTGTCACTTTAACATAAGTGAATCACTCTCCTGTTCCCCCTCTTGAATCTTTCCCCTTTTTATACCCCCCCCCCCCCCCCCCCCCCCTCCATCCAACGAAGCCCAAAGTCAGTTAAAGGGCTGGTAATAACTATCGAAACGCCTGTCATTTGAAATAAATAAAAAATAAATATAAGGGAACGACAACAGTTCAGTTTTGCTAAATAGGAGTAAATTTATGCAATTCCCAGGGGGAAATGAAATTTATTGATGTCGCCTTAGTAAACTAGTTTTCAATTAAATTGTCCATGTACGGTTTAGTAAATGCCCGTAAGAGATGTTGCAAGCATTGTATCACGATCACACAAGTGAAAAAAAACCCCCTATTGAGCGCTTGAATGGACCGAAATGTGCCAATTTTCTTGAATTTGACTTAAGAGGAAACTAAAAAGGCTGAGACAAAACTGCGGTGAACCGAGAAAAGCGACTCCCTCTGCCCCCCCCCCCCCCCCCCCCCTCCCTCCCGATTCTCACCTATGCGTGACAATACATCATTTCCCAACCAAGGTGTCGGCTTTTAGAAATGTGATTAGGAAAGAAAGAGTCCATTTTTACCCATTGGTACTTCATGTAGTACTAAGCCACGTATAGAAATTTGAGCAGGATAATGGGAGAATTCTCAAATCTGACTCCAGTAAAGGAAATATTAGAGACACCTACTAATAATAATTTTAACCTGGGCATTCGAGCAGCTATCATACTGCGAGGTATTGAGTCCTATTCCTATTACACTTAATGATTTTATACTTTTGAACCACATGAATTCATCCATTTTTCTTTCATTGATGCATTCATTCATCACACAAATATTCATACTTAGGAGTTGCTGGGTACGTACGTGTGAATTTCGCCAATTGCATCCACAGTCTTGAAGGGTTTATTTATTCATACAAACAGTAAAGGTTTCAATCACTGAACCATTTTAGCACAAACTATTACTCCATTAGTAATAGTGATTGCGAGACTATAATGCCAGCCAATTATAAAATTTGCTGGTATTGAAAAGTATCGATCATTATTTCATTCTGTGCATTCACAACTTTTATGGCAATTCAATTTGAAATATGCATTGATGAACTTAAAAAATAATGATAATTTCAATTCATCACCTTATTTTAGAATTCGAAATAATCGATACATATGCATCACGAATAATTTTGTTATCAAATGCATTTAATAACCAATGTTTTGGGTGATTTAATTATTAAGTAAAAGAAATATTCAGGAACTACTCACATTTGTTCAAGAAAATTTATTGCGAAGCATATTTGATTCAACATTGAGAAAACTTTTGTTCATAACTAAATATAATGCAATTATGACTTAACTTATGTTTCAATAAAAACCAATATCTCAATTTTGTTGTTGCTGTGAAAAATAATGAAATATGCATTTCAGAACTAGTCATGGAAATAAATTTTTAAGTGGTTTTATCTTAAGCGCGTTATATGAAAGTGAAGGTAATAATCCAATGGATTTTCTCAAAGCAGAGATAGCCCGTAAACGCAAAGCTTTAGAAGAAAAAGAACTCATTGTAAGCCTTTGGAGTTAAAAATATTTGTATAGACCAAGGATAGGAAATACTTTAAGCGCTCCGATCTGTCGAAATCCGAAGAGGAGGAATATCGTATGAAATGTAAATATCGAACAAATATTGTTTTGGAAGAAGAAGATTCGAATTCTACCAGTCTGCTTCAATCTGTAAGTGAATATTCTTTAGGTTGAATTTAGCTATTAGACTCCAGAAGAAAATATGCTGCTAAAGAAGATTGAAAAGGAACGGGAAGAAAAAGCCAAAGGAAAGTTAATGCCCAGAAGAGAAGTTATCAAACTTCTACGGGAGCGAAATCAGCCGATAAGGTTGTTCGGCGAATCCGACTACGATACTTTTCAGCGTTTAAAAAGGATTCAGCTCCTGGAACCTGAGTCCAAAGGTCTTCGGAATGACCTTCTTGCTGCCATGGATAAAGTCGATGAAGATGAAGATGAGGCTATATTTGGTGATGTTAGAAACAATCCCGCCTCATCCTCTGAAGGTCACGCAAATCTGGAGGTTGCAATCAAGAAAGATTTCATTCCCCCTGATGAATTTGAGGTCATTAAAGTCACCTTGTCTTCTTATGTCAGAATGCGAGAACCTAATGCAACAGATGATGCTACTGCAGCGGCCTCTAGCTTTGCCAAAGAATCAGAAGATCATCCCATAGCGAAGGCAAATGATCATGCCTTTATGGAAGAGGTCTCCGATCATGTTCTCCGTTATCTAAAGGTTTGCTTACTGCTTAATTTTACGTCATTTTTTAGTATCTTTTATCATACTGGGGTACGCATTTAAATCAACGTTCAAGGGAAGTGAAACTGTCTTATTCTGGTAAAATGGATAGCGCTACTTATAATCAAACTTTGGAGTATGTTAAGCCTCTATTTAAACTTCTCAAAAATAAGGTAGGTTTGCTATTCCCTGTGTGGGTGTAACTTTTCTCATCTATTTAGCGTTGCCAAGATGATATTCTAGACTCCCTTGTCAAAGTTGTCGTTCTGCTAATGGATAGGAATTACCTCAAAGCTAACGACGCTTACTTGGATTTGGCTATCGGGAAAGCGCCTTGGCCCTTAGGTGTTACTAACCACGGTATCCATCAACGTACAGCACAGGATAAAATTCACACCAAAAATGTTGCCCATGTTTTGAACGATGAAACACAACGAAAGTTTATTCAAGGTATCAAGCGTCTTATGACTCGTGCCCAAGAATTTTTCCCAACTGACCCTTCTAGGTGTGTTAATTATATGAAAGCACCATCTGAAAGTATCGCCTAAGTGAATACTTAACCTTTACTATTATCTATCCTGTATATTCCTAATGTCCGTTTTAAATTTACTGCTTATTTTTTGTAAGTAGTTGTAATTTTGTATTTCGGTTTGATATAATTAAAAGCAAGACTGGATTGTCGCTGTGTAATAATTCATTTTATTTAAGTGTGATGTACTCTGTAATCTGGATTGTGGTGTTGTTGAATCTCTGGATGGAATCATACGTCTGTTGTATTGCTTGATCTTTCAGAATATGTTAGCTAAAAGGTATAAAGAGGAAGGTGTTGGAATTATTTTATTTTAATGTGAGTTAAAAGGATTTTAAAGAAAGTTTAACTTACATTATTTCGTATAGTAGGTGGTCTGCCAGCACGTCTGGGTCTCCCCTAAAAGAAGAGAATTAGTCAAGGTCACATGTAAGGAATTTGATTAGGGGAGCTGATGCCTCGAAATGCGTATTTTGGCATTTTGTGAGTGTCCTACGCAGAAACAAATCTGCTTCATAATTAACTACGGATTTCTACATTTATTTGATTGTAAATGACAGTTCAAATGAATTAGAGCAAACGATGCAGCACTAAATATTTTTTTCTTCGTGTTAAATTATGATCTGGTCGCTTGTTGGGAACGCTAAATCTACTGGCAAGGTGGTTGACATATCAGTTAACCCCTTTTGACGCGGTCTTTGGAATTAGTGCAGATTTGCATTAAATTTAGGCCACATAGTGTGCCTTTGATCTCCTCACCTAACAGTCCCGTTTTGCGCAAACCCTATAATTGGCTTCATAGAGTGGTTCGGTGTTCAACTGTCTCATATTTTCCTGGTTAGCAGCTTAATACTGTGGACAATTAAAAACACTAATCAATAATATTTGGCAACATGGGGTGTGCAATAGACTTACCTCCACGTGGTGCACTCTGGGCAACGTATACTCATACGACAAAAGAGCATATTAACCGGCAGTTGACTTCTGGCTTCAAACTACCATCACCTCACTGTATGTTATATTCGACTACTTTCACGGTACTCACCTCACCTTTTTTCTACCTTTGTGTCTGTCTCTTTTACGTCTGTGAATCATTATTCTGTCCACCTCTCGACTTTTTGCCACTTTGATGTTCCTCTTCCTTTCTGTGAAGCCTGAAGTCAACTAAATGGCTAATGTTACCTATCATAACGGCTGCCATTTGAAATTAATATTTGTCAAAATTTTCAGCCGGTATTTAAACATTTGATTTCCATCGCCAATTTTCCTTATAACAAAGAAAACAAATACCTTTAATACACTTGGCAGTATGTGGCTGAAGTCACTGTCTAAATTCGTTGGAAGAGGTGCTAAATTTTGTACTTCTTCGGGACTCAAATCTAATCTTGAAAGAATAGAGGAGTCCTGGAGGAGAGATGGGGACAGCGGTTCCTGAATACTAGGCTTTGGTTCAATGTAGGAGATTCCGTACTTCGTTCTTAATCGATCTTTCATTTCACGTAGCAACTGGGGGCCTAAAATTAAAGTAAAGAAATAGGATTTAACGATTTTTAGCAGAGGATATTTTCTTAACTGTACCTACGCTAAAGGGGAAACCTCCTTTAGGGTCATTTTGGTTAGAAACGGAGTTAATAGTGACATTTGCAACAAAAGTAGGCGATTATCTTACCCTGATTGGTATACATGGCGACAGCACCTGCAGGTCTACGCTCATTGAAGCAGGTAGGATTTTCTTCTCGAGATGAAATTGCCTAAATTAAGGGTAGAGGTTTCTGGAGTGTCAAACAAATGGTTAGAAAGTGATAAGTTGAATGACAGCTTCGTTGACGAGTACACTTGCAAACACCCAGACTAATGTGGGCACAGATTGGGGACCAATGAAGAAATTAGCACGCCAAGATATGCGCATCTTCATGACCCTTGCTGAATCAGAGTCAGAGAGACGATCTTGGCAAGACTGATTTTATCCATAAGATGACTTTAATAAGACCTTTTGTAGGCAAACTTTCTTCTAAAGTCTGGTCATATCTGGAGCTAACTCGTCAAAGTTCTTGATGATATGAAAGGCCAATAAATTGTAATAGACAACCGTTTTCAGCACTCAGGCGAACGGTTTCTTCGTCCGGAGTGGTAAATAGGTTTACACCTAATAATAGGTTCTATATAACTCGATTTTTTATCCTAATTCCTTTCTTTAATCAATCAACGGCTATTGCTGTACTTTATATAAATTCGAGTTTGGACCATCATAAGTGTCACTTACGATGCTAATCAGTCTCAGAATTCTCACGAGATATGGTAGATATCATGGATATCAACTTTACAAATTTCAAAGATCAGTGGTTGAGGTGATGCGAGTTCCCTAATTTGGGGATTCTAAGACGCTCTCCCAAAATACGAATGTTGTCAAATATTTCAATGTACTGCGTTTGATTATACCCATTTCTTACTCAAAAATTTTGGACTATCCAAATCCAGAGATGTATGCCTATTCTCCATAGTTATATCCCTCCCCATTGACTCTAATTAAGAAGCAATAAATCTTCACCTAACATTATTACAAAAAACTGATTTAAATCGCTAACGAAATTCGCGAGAACTTATTTGCTAAGTCCACAACTAATATTATCAACAGATTTCCATTTAGTAAGAAGGTGATTCTCAATTGGTTAGAATGACGAAGTCGATTTTTGTGGCTGATGTAAGCACAGCATACGGATTATCAATTATTGATTTTCTAATAGTTGCAACAAATATAACCAATTCTATTTGAACCGCATGTCTGCATATTAGGCCTAAACAACCTAAGACATAATATAAGTCACTAGGCAGCAGGCAATATATTGGTGGGTTAATTACCAGTAAATTACTCACAGTCGTTCTTAAGCACCCACTTAAAGTCGATAACGTGGTTTCCAACATTAGAAAATTAGCTTATATTTTACAAGAACGCAGTTCAATCGGATGGTGCTTACTTATGCATGCATAACTAAACGAGCGTGTATGCACTTAACACAGGAATAAACGACACAATCTATTTGGCACAAATATGAGAAAAATGTAGTGCGAAACAAAATTACCTGTGCTGTTTTATATGAGGAAACAGAATTATGACCTTGCCATAAAGGTGGTCCCTTTCCTTGAACTGAGCACCGAGTTGTTGGATAAATTGGCAACCTCTCGTTTTCCTAGATTTTTTAAGAAAAAAATTAAATGCTTTCCCAATAAAGTTAGCCAACTAATCGGCTACATTTTTTATTAGCGATAATGAATCCTATTAGCACTGTGCACATGAGTAACTTAAGCAAATCGATATTCGATGTTTTTTCCGATAAATTTTATCGATTTACTTATTGTACTGCCAAATCACCAAATGAAAGAGAAATGAACATAACAATTTATCACTGTAAGATTGCTCTGAAATAAAAGCCAATAATCAATCGCGTTTATTGAGTTATAAAAGGAAGAGACTTTTCCCTCCTTCAATTTAAAAACATTTTAATTTGAACACTGAAGCAAAATTCATTTTTAACGATTTTGGCAAACTGGAAGTTACATTCCAAGGCAAATGAGAGGCCACTCAATTATACGGTTTCCTACTTGATTGCACCTATCCTTTCCACATTTTATGCAAATCTTCACTAACACGGTGTTCAGTGAACTGAGTGTTTCTAACTGATTGTCAGGGCAATAACAAAGGCATCTTTGTAAGCATTTCATTATTTTTGCTGATCCAAACTCACTTGCCAAATTGGCTGTCCAAAATAATTAAGTTTTGACTTCCATCTTTTTTATGATTCTGATATTTACTATAGTTGAAACCATCAAACAAATATCTATAGAATCCGAAAATCTCCATTCTCATGTTAAAAATTTAACTCACATTAGACACGAATAATCTTGAAGAGGGGGTGTTTTCAACATGTAAGCTTTGGGTAGTTTGACTTCCATAACAACTGAACCTCCTCAACGCATCTGTCTTATTGTTCAGCCTCATAATTGCCTTCAATTAGTATAGACACGATTAATATAAAAACGTTGACTTAGGACAGCTCAATTTCAATTTTTTTATTCGAAATAAAATGGGCGAAAAACTCACGACAGGCTTTGTCCCAGATGTTTCCTCCGCCGCGATGTTTCGTTCAAATAATTTAATTGTTTCGGAGACTTTCGGCTTACTAATTTCACCAGACGGTACTAAAACCCACGAAGAGGGATTGAGAAAAGAAATCATACTTAGATTACTCATCAGTGAGCGTACACTCTAAAGGTCTACCAATGTGTACTTTAATTCCTTATGGTGATAGCTTTATGAAATAACTTTTATTAAATAATTCTAGGTGTATCCAAATTTTGGTGATATGGTGTTGAGTTATGGATAAGACCTAAATAAGAATGGAATTAATTGGAGTACCCCAGTACTGTTCAAACAGCACTTATTCTTGACTAAGTATGAAGTAACTCCATTAGATTGGAAAAAGAAAATAGATTCCTAACCAAGATAAAATCGACAAAGACACAGAAGCTTTTGTGTTTATTAGTAACGTACCCAAGCGTGGCAGCGAATGCGGAAAATCGATACAACTCAAAGTAAGGAAGAATATGAGTGGAAAAAATGACTGATAATTTTCACTACTTAACAAGAAATAATTATCTTTGGAAATTAAGATGTTGAAGATAGACGAAAACTATGGTCTGAGAACTCAAGAAATGGAAAATTTTCACTTCAACTTTCGATCTATATCAACTGCTCTTTCTCATCATTCCTTTTTCATGCTAAGGATTGGGCTTAGTTATAATGTGTTCGGGAATGAAGAAGATGAAGTGCGACCTATCCATATTTCACTTTTGTAAGATTTAAAGTGCAAAATTCCACCAATCATGCTCAAACGATACTCGTAAAGCTGGAAATCACCTAAGATAACCCTAGGTGTCTCCAATTTAGCGGAAGTAGGCGGTCTAAGACTTTTCGTAAAACGGTATTAGGGAACAATAGGGAAAGGGTGTATCTGCGCAATTAGGTAGAATAGAGTAATACAGAGGTCATCAGTTTCCATAACGGAAAAATTGTGCTCATTTTCAGACCAATCCTAATTTCAGCCAAAAGATCTTTGAAAACCTCTGTAAAGCAAGTTCCTTATTTATCCTCACCTCCCCAACCCCCCCCCTCCCCCCCTCCCGAAACATACTTAGCTTGCGAATTATATTTTGCATGTACTTTTTGTAATTATTCAACTAATTATGTTCTATTTCAATATTCACGAGTTGAATTAGATTAGCCATTATCTAAATTTACTCTATATTCCCAGCGTCCTGGCATTTTCCCAACAGACATTTCCGCCAACCCCAAAGCCATCAACAGCTTGCTGCTTAGCAACCACAAACCACCTAGCCTACTTATATCAACAATTGCTCGCCACGCAACTGCAACCAACTGTCTGTTACATCTTACTAACTAAGCTACTTTAACAAAACATCATCTTGACACTCTCGGGAGCTCGAATTAAGGAATGACCATGACAGCTTAAAAATCGAGCAAAAGATTCGTTGGAAAAAATGCCAAGCCTTCAAATAGAATTTTAATTCCCACTTCTCTATTCTCACTTCTGCCAAACAAAAAGGTGAATCGAAAGTGGTTCGAATAAGCAGTAAGTTATGTAAGTATTAAGTGAAGTAGTTGTCATATGTACTATTCAGGCCACTGAAATTTGATTCAGAAGGAGTACAAACTTACTAGAGTCTTTCTTTTGGTTTTCAGTAATTGTAGAAGGAGGGAAATCTTTCCTCTAAAAGGGAATTTGTTATTCTTGATCTAACTTCCAATCATACTTGAAAAGAATTCGATTGGGAATTGGAAAAGTCTGGTTTCTCCGATGATAGATTCCTTACTACAAGAGTAGAGGCATTATTAATTGTGTTATTATGATGAGGGTTGTGTAGACAGATTCTGACAGCTTTTATTTAAAGAGGG